CTCCTCCTGCCTCCCCTTCCCTCATCCACCTGCTGGCCTCTGTGGAAGCCCCGCCATAGCCACCACCAAACAACGGAGTTATTTTTGCACATCGACCTGCATCTGGCCAATCCACCACCTCTCATTGTTCATGCCCTTACAAAATAAAAATAAAAAATAAGTCACCGGGCATATTCCCGGTATGCCCGATGGCCAGTCCAGCTATGTTAACCTGCAACCAAATCTGCAGCTCCATACAGCAATGTTACGACTTAGATTATATCTTATAACTCATAACTCTTATGTTAGCTGCCCTCAGTAGCATACTGTCTGAAATATTCGAGGGCTGCAATAATTCTTTTAAGTGTTATTTTTTCCTTGGTATTCTAATTTCACCGAAGTTTACTAAACTCAACAAACTTAATATTACTTACCGGGACATTTATTCTGTCCTCATTTTCTTTCACCGAAAAATTGTTTCCTGCGGTGCCGTCTTTCTTGCTTGGCTCTCCTACCTTTGCTAACGTGATGCACATAGCGCAGAAGCCGATGCTGCATTCACTTACACTCGGATATCTGAGCTTCACCGTGAAAACATAATCGGACATTTGATATTTGATTGAATTGTATTGTTTTGCATTTGGGGTGGCACCTGGGGTGGCCAGTCTGGTTGGGGGGGGTGGCCTGTACCCCCCCAGGCCACCCCGCTGGACACGCCATTGATTACTTGGCCCAACAGTCTTGTCTAGTTACAAGACAATCTGAAACTTTCCTATATCTCAAAAATTCTTTAAAAAGTAGTTGCAAAACAGCTAACAGATTATCTGCAGAGGAATTGCTTATTTGAAGAGTTTCAGTCAGGCTTCAGAGCTCATCACAGCACAGAAACAGCTTTACTGAAGGTTACAAATGATCTTCTTATGGCCTCTGATAGTGGACTCATATCTGTTCTTGTTCTGCATTTTACTAAAAAGATTTGAACCTACCTCAGGTATTAAATGTACTTTGCAGCAGTGGTTACTTCTATTTAATAGACTCCAGTTTATTTAAGTAAATGGGGAGTCTTCTTCACATACTAAGGTTAATTATACAGTCCAACAGACTTCATTGGTATGCAGATGATACCTTCTTTTATCTGCCAGATGACACACAGGAATGTCTTCAAGACATAAAGTCCTCGATAGCCTCTAATTTCCTGCTTCTAAATTCAGATAAAACTGAGGTTAATTTAGTCAGCCCTAAAAATCTTAGAAATATAGTATCTAACCAGATACTGAGTGAATCAGGTGATCCTCCCGGGTTATGTTGCAATAGACCTAGATTGGCTTCCCAATAGGCGGTTTGTTAACAAGTTACTGAAAATGTTGTTGCCAATTTTCAGATAATTAACTTCTCAGTGGGTTATGTTTTAGTGTATGCTCATCTCTTATCTCCAGCATGAGTTGCTCAGGAGAAGAGGTTACCAATGTGGAATTGCCAATGAGAATAAGCGGAAGAGACAGATGGTTGGATGGATTGATGGCTCGATGGATGGTCCTAAAAACTTGGGTTTTGATATGATGTCACTTTGCTAACAGGTGTTGCTCTACTGGAGAACACCAGAAAGGACTACACAGATATTTCCAGATAACTAATTTAAGTTGAAACCAGCAATACACAGACACTGAAAAGCTCTAATGTATGGGGATCTATTCAACAACTTCAGTGTGAACCAACATAGTGTTTGTGTAATAAGTCAATGTGCGACCTTCACAATAACTGAAATCCTTGTGCTTTAATCCACCAATTAAATTTTTTATCATCCTCTGGGAAAATGAAGCTGGTCATGATGACCCAGCAGAATCACGTCACCATGGCAACAGTGGAGCAAAGTGTTGTCATAGTGATTAGAGCTAAACAGAAGTGTGTGTGGTGAGGATTAGATGGTTTTATTTTACTGATTCTTGTCTTTTCCTCACGTCCTCTGCAGAGCTACCATGACACTTCCCTAGGCCACGCCCACTCAAGCACAACAGTGACGGCCATCTTGGTGACGTTGATGTTGGTGTGTGCACTGGCTGCACTCGGCTGCTATGTCTTCAAACACAAGACTGATGCCTTCCGCTTCCACTACTTCAGAGTGAGACACACACACACAATGCTCCTTGTTGTCCTGGTTACAGTATTTTTATTTTTTACATTTTTGCCTCATTAGCTGCATGCGATTCATAGATTATTTCCCCACCAGAATTACTGATAACCAAGTCCCTCTAGAGCTATGTCTTCCCACTTGATTTGGTAACACCTCTGGGCAGTTATTTTGAAGCTCCAGTTTAAATGAATGGGGAGTCAAAATAAATTTAACTGGGTCATAAAAACAATGCATGAATGGAAACTTAAGTTAAATATGCTAAAAAAGCACTTACAAGGTTTTGATGAGCTAATAAAGTTTTTTTCCCTTCAAGACATACTTAAGCTGTGAATTGTTATTAGTTTTATCTTGGATTAATACTAAGTCATCTTTTCTCTGTCACAGAATGAGGATGAGGATGGTGCAACAGGAGGTAGGCCCAAACCCACACTGGTCTCCATCCCCAACCCTCTCTACGTCAGCTCTAGAGCCTTAGCTGAGCCATTTGAGGTAAGTCTTAGGTACTTTATCTTAAACAGAGATCCAACACATTTCTGTGTTTCTGAGTGTTTCTCAGATAGCTGTGTGCACAGGTTTTGTTCTTAGAGCAGGCGACCCATATGCCAAGAGGCCCAAGTTCCAATCTGCATTCGGTCCATTTCCTGCAGGTCTTCCTCTTGGCCTTTTTTCCAGCTTTCTTGTCTGTTCTCTGTTGTCCTACAAAAATAAAGGCTACAAAAAAGCACCAAAAGAATCTAGAGTGACCCTGCATGACTTGGAGGTCAAAATAATTTATATCTGTCTTACACTGGTTCTTGGTGCAGCCCTCAGGTCATCCTCAGTTTGACTGTTTTAGCTCTTTCCCCTTTTTTTCAATATGACATCAGAAACCACAGAGAGATACAGAGACAAGACTAAAATTAACAGGACATAAGAGGAGAGTAACTGAGACAAGAAAGTTACAACAGGAGTTCCGGAATAATACATGAAATGTGAACCTAACAACCTAAAGATATTTAACAGAACTTCAAAACTCGGACACCGCAGAACTCTAAGCCACAGACTCGGAACCATGACAGGACTAGCCCGCTGTATCATTTTTTCACACTGAATTTGGGGTGGCTGTGAATTTAGCCCTCTGTAGGTTGATCATTTTCATTTCCATCAAACAGTGTAGCATCTTTCTGTTCCTATCACATTACCCAGTCCATATATGTAGGTAACCATAGATAAAGATACATGATTTTATTCTTTTCATTGTGATCTGATGTGTTTTCAAAGTGTTCCTTTAGTTTTTCACTGAAATATAAAGCCTCATCCAGCAATAACCTGCAAAAAGGCTGCTAATGTTAGCCTCAGACAGCAGACTAATCTGGGACTGTGTGCATATGTTTATAAATTTGACTAATGTTTAAAATAATGATTTTAACAGTTTTCATATTTAAGCTTTTTCATTAGTTTATCGTCAAGTTTGACTGTTTAGTTCCTTAAGATTAGTCGACTAGTCTGCATTTTAGAAAATATTGGGACCTTCAGTAGAATGAGGTTTATGAACACACACCGAATCTGAAAGCATGACCGTTTACTCCCCCCTCCCCGGATGGGTTTTCCCCATGTTTACACCCTTTCAGTTCACACAGGGAGTTTTCCACCATCCATCATGCCACACATACAGGTACAGCTGACATCCTAAGCAGACTCACAAATCCTCATATTAGACAGCCTTCTTCAACATCTCCCCTGTTTCCTGGGATGTGCAGCCTCTTGCCTGCCTCTTCTCAGAGATAAGAGGCCTGACTCCATGTGTCTGTGTGCACTTGAGGGAAAGGTGGGAGGTTTTAACCAAAATAAGTTTTAGGCCCTACAGCTGCAGCTGGCAGAGGAAGAGGAGGGTGATGGGAGATTTAATGTTGCACTCTATTACTGTAGCCTGTAGTAACACATAAATATACAGTGCCAGCTGAACAAAAGAGGAGCATCATGGAATTATATTTGTGTCAAAAGTGGCACACGAGAGAAAATGATTTCACAAGAAATTAAATAATTTCATAGGCGCAGGTATTCATGGCCACTCACTCAATTAAATTCCTCACACGTAAATTCAACAACCTGCTCACATACACCCCGGTAACCAAACGCTCAAAGAAGTCAGATTTTAATCCAACATGCAATACCATCTAGAAATAATCGGACTGGCAGCAACTTTATTTTTTAAGCACGACAATGATCCCAAACACACTTAAAATGCAGTAAAAGCATACCTGGATTGAAAAAACACACAATGGAGCACTATCAGTCATGGATTGGACTCTCCAGAGCTCAGAGCTTAACACTATTAAAGCATAATGGGATCATCTTGACACAACAAAAGAACAAAAGGCAGCCAGCATCCACAGACGAACATCGATGCAGACACACTGCTGTACCTCAGCATTCTGCTGCAGGGCTACCGCACATCTCTCAACCTCACTGCTGCACAGCTTCTAATTTCTAGCACCGCTGAGTAAAATAAACATCAGCTGCTCATCCGCTGTTACTAATTAATGATTAGTCTGTGTGTTACTTCATAGCAATCCAAGACTGTACTGATCTCAATCTTCATGTCCTCTCTGAGTTATTAAAACTGACAGTAAGGGTGAAAAGAAAGATTTTAATATCTAGATTATGATGTGCACTCCTTAGGGAAGCACTGAAGGCACACCCTTCATTATGCCATTACGCCCAAAGAAAAAAGAAGCACTGCTACCTGTTCACGGTAGAAACTCTCCATGGTGTCATGGGAAGGGATAGTGTTTATTGACAGTCCTAATGGCCCAGGGGATGGAGCTGTTTGTGAGTCTGGAGGTGTGGGATTGACTAGGGATGGGTATCGTTTAGGTTTTATCCGATACCAGTACCAAACCGGTACTTTTGAAATGGTGCCGGTGCTTAAAGAATGGAGAACACAAAATTGGTCCAAAAACCTCTCATGTTCAGCTGTTTTTTTGTAAAAAGATAACAATATTGGCCTTTTCTGCAGCTATAGGGGATTTATGGTATCACTCTTGGCTGGAAGCAGTGCTTAAACAATGGACAAAAAACACAAACTTTGTCCAAAAACCTCTCATGTTTAGCTGTTTTTCACTTTTTCTTTGGTCATTTTAGCCTTTTTGGCCAGGGTGAAGGGAGTATCTGCCATCAAACAAGAAGACAGCCGCATGTAACTACGACGATGTTTGCTAGTTCACCTTACCTGCATTAATGTAATAACGTGGTTAGCCTACTCAACGTACATTACACACGAACAACATTAAGCTACTGACACAGAGAAGAACGGCTGCTGCTGCCATCATCATCCATCATCGTTTCTGCTACACTGGCAGGGCTAGGGGCCAGGACTCTACTCTTCGGGTTTTTGGGGGATGTTGCTAACTCAGGGTCATATAACAGGCAACCCACGCGCAGTAGATGTGCACGATGTGAGGTCTCGCAGCAAGCTATCAAATACGGCGCATTTCTCGGCTTTTAACAAAATGCTATACGTCGCCAGGTGTTTCATCAGATTCGAGGAGTTACCTCCTGTGAAGTACAGCCAGACTTTTGACCGCTTCACTTTGGGTATTTTTAATCTGTAGCTCTGCTCTAAAAGAACGTACGTACCTGGGCCCGCCTACTACGCTCGCAAAGGTAAAATGATTGGCTGGAATCCAAAGTGCATGACATCTCAGGGGGAAAAAAAGCACCGAAATGTGCGCTGCTTTTTGGTCTGGTTACTACCGTTTATGTCAGAGCCGGTACCCATCCCTAGGACTGACCAGAGGTGCCAACCAGAGGGCAGCAGATCAAACAGGTGGTGAGCGGGGTGCAAGGGGTCACCTATGATGGCTCTGGTTTTCCTGAGACAGGAGGATCTGGCGATGGCAGAGGGCAGCCAATGATTTTTTTGGGTGGTGTTAGTTACACACTGCACAGCTGTCCTCTTCTCAGTAGTGGCTCCTGCATACTCAACACCAAGGCAGTAGGAGAGTATGCTCTCCACTGAGGAGCTGTAGAAGGCCACCAGCAGCTTCTGGTCAAGGTTATTCTTTAGGAAAAGGAGGAAGTGCAGCTGCCGTTGTTCCTTTTTTACCAGGACATTGGTGTTGTGGGTCCAGGTGAAATTGGAAGAGGTGTGGGTGCCCAGAAACCTGAAGTTGGAGACAGATTCCACCCATTGTCCATTTTTAATGAGAGGGGAGTGGACCTGTCTGTGCCTCCTGAAGTCTATTATGAGTTCTTCTGTTTTAAGGACATTCAGCTTCAGGTTGTTTTCTGAGCAACAGTTGGACAAGTTCTCTACTTCCACCCTGTATGCTGTCTCATCTCCATCAGAGATGAGTCTAACCACGGTGGTGCTGAGAACAAAGCCCTGTGGGGATCCGGTGCTGAGTGACAGTCAGGGGGGAGGTAGGTAGTCTTTGATCCAGGAGCAAGTGACGGGGGGTTCTGAAGGTGGTCCAGTTTGGTGGTGAGGATGTCTGAGATTATGGTGTTGATTGCTGAGCTGTAGTCCACAAAGAGCATCCTCATGTAGTTCTTCCTGTTCTCCAGATGGCTCAGCGCTCTGTGAAGGGTGATGGCATCCTCTGTGGACTGTGTGTGGGGGAGGGGTGGTCTGAAACCGAACAAAGAAGGCTTTGAGGTTAGCCCCTGACAGCAAGTTTGAACCTGCTGTCGGGGGTGGGAGGGTTCTGGCCTTTGTAGTTGGTGAGAGTTCTCCACATCTGGCGGGGGTTGTTATCAGTGAGGAAGCCTCCCCATCCTGTATGCCTCATTTGCCTGTTTGATGCCCCTCCTCAGGTTGGCTCTGGCAGTGTTGTACAGAGAACAGTCCCTCAGCCTGAAGGCAGAGTTATGAGTTCTGATCAGAGCCTGTACTTCACTTATCATCCAAAGTTTTCGGTTAGGAAAACCACGGATGGTTTTGGTTACTGTTACATTCTCTACACAGCACTTAATGTAGAAAAGGACTGACTGAGTGAAGGTCTCCAGATCCTGGTGTTTGATGTTTTACAACTCTGTCAGATCAAAACAGCCCTGTATTCAGAGAAGCTCATCATCTGGCCAGTTTTTAATGACCCGGGTGTTTGGAGTGAGCTGTTTCCTGAGGGGGGTGTGGGCAGGAATGAGGAGCAGAGAAGAGATGGTCAGATTGTCCTAGGTGGGGGAGGGGTGTTACCCTGTAGGCCTGTTTGATGTTGCTGTACACATGGTCCAGTGTCCTGATCCCCCTGGTACAGTTACAGTTAACATGTTGGAAGAATTTAGGGAATACAGACTTCAGAGATACCTTGTTAAAGTCCCAGCAACAATATCGACGCCCTCCGAGGCTCTGTCTGCTGTTTACTGATGATAAGTTGAAGGTGGTTGGGTGCTGAGCTAACATTAGCATTGGGGGACATGTAAATGTTCTATGGCTACCGTTAGCTTGCGAGGTAGATCAAAGTGCCTGCCCTGAATAGACATGGCCTCTAAGCAGTGACCATCTGTAA